CTACTCCAGTAAAAAAAGAGGAATTTTTGGGCAGGGATCACTGCAAAGGAGCTAGTTCATCCTCCACGGAACTCTCTACGTTTAGCTTTTATTGAGACAGCACCGCATATTCGCCATAATCTTTCCCTTCCCTGTCTCGCAATCGTTCTGATTCGCTTTTCACCGAAAAGCTCCACTTCATTGGAACATTGGCAAATAATTAATCGAACTAAACAATAATTTTACTAGGTTGTCCCATAATTTCCAAAATATCTTGTTTGTTTTATTTTTTTTCCATTCGTTTATTCACCCAACTTAGAACGCACTAGCAAGATCTATAACATATCGCCAATGCATGAGGAAGTTGCTTGATGTCTCACTCGCAGATATTCCCGGACTTCTGAGCAGCCTGGGACTTCTAGTTCTGGTCCTGTTGGTATGCCCCGAATTTCTCCACAAGAGGTTGGGCTAAGGATTGAGTCAGACGGTGATCGATCGGACGCTACAGGGTGAAAGCGGAAGAGCCATCCGTTAGGTCTTTTATTTTCCCGAATTTCTATCGAGACAAGGGAAGGGTTGAGCAATACCCGAGAAAAGTTGGAATTCAGTCTCCTCGGACACTGCGATCAAGCTGTCAACAGAAGTGCAAAGCATTGCCTCTAGCATATTTGGTGGAAGTTTCCAGAGTACTTCACTTCTGTCGTACTCCACCAACCATTCGTAAGATTGTCCCTTCCTGGAACAGAACAGATTTTGGCTGTCCTCTTCGCTCCCGTTCCGGTGCGAAGGAACCGCTGCCGCTTTTAGGCACAGTGAGCATATGGCACCTACACCTCAAAGTCACTACGTTGACCTCAACATCGTACTATGAGAAGTAGAATAGCTATGTCAGATTCGAGCTAATCAAATGTGCGAAAGGAAACTCCAATTTTTCAGATTTTCTTGGATCCAGAAAATGTCTAGTGCTGCCGCCGTGCTATGGCGAGTGCCCAGTCAAATAAGAATAGAGTGCCAGACATCTTTTTCAACAGCACCGAGTGGAGGAGAATCAGCACCTATGGGGCGGTTAATGGGTGAATCGTTTTCGAATAGAACGAGCCTTTTTGGAAGCTGGATAGCCTGCTGGAATCGTGGAAGCCGACGATATAATATAACGAGACACTTTCGAAGTTTCAAGGATTTGAATAGCATTGAAAGGGAAGTGTTCCGGAGATTATGGTACAACCTAATATAAAACAGCAAAAATATGGCAGAAACAACTCACAATCCTTCCTTGAGCAGTTGACTTGAGAGTAGCAGCACCAGATTGCACTGCTTCAATTGAGATACCAGTGGTCGAAGTTTCAGCTTGAGCTCAGACTTCTGATCAGGAAAATCCATGATGAAAAGGCGAATATTGAGCGGAACAGCAGCTATAGGTCTCCGTCTTCCCTTAGGAGTCACCTCCTCCACAACAATAGTCCACTCCTAGAAAAAAGTTACAAATTATTGTCCCCCACGAAGTAGTTGGGAATTCACGCAACAGCGCATCCATGTCCTTTTCTCTGCCGCGTGTGAAGCGTACGAGTTGGCTTGGGAGAAAGTCGACGCGGGACGCTACTGCGATGAGGAGACTGCAAAGTAACGTCCCCCCCCCGCAAACGACTAGAGTCAAAATGGCGTTCTCTCAGCGTGAAAATAGGCGCGCTAGCTCGTGCTCCTCCGAACCGTGTCAGTGCCAAGTTATTGGAAATAACGGCCAAAACCAAAAGGCAAAGACAGATGAACGAGGATTTATATAACGCGCAATCCACCTAACATCCACAAGACATTACATTTGCAACCAGAAAAAAAAACTAGAAGAATGCCAACCTTATCATCGTACTGGTCGTCATGTTGAGATTTGTAAAGGGTGGTCAGAATATCTATATGTTCCGCTGCTTGCTCCGGCCACATGATGACTGTCTGATCCGGATTTGAGAAGGATTCTTCCCATTTTCTTTCTTTCGAGCTGATTTTCCTTCTCCTGAAAGAGAATCGTTCGAACCACATTAATGCAGAAAATTTGAAAGAGTTTTGTATAGAACACCAAACGACGTATCATCATTTCAAAAGACAACGTACGGTCTGGGATGATGGGGCGTGTCCGCGTGCTGCGTTGGACACACAACCAAATCCATTCTCCACCATTTGTTAAAGGGCAACTGGTGAAAAACGGTTGGTACAGAACGCATGAGATCATCTTGTCGTTTTCGAAAGGAAAAAAGGAAAAATGGGTTGGTCCGCATCAAACGCAGCCGCGCGCGACACGCCCCATCATTCCGCAGCGAACCATACTGTATGGCAACCGCTTGCCCCACAATAAAGAAATTCTATAGGTAAAATACGCAGCCGGATCTACTAGTGATGATCCATAAAATTACGAATTGTGACGCATGTTGAATGAATTCTAGCAACGTATAACATACTATAGGAAAACTTCACATAACTTTCATTAGCCACATTTTTTTAACAATCTCTATCAGTGACATCTTCAATGCATATGCATATTATTGAAATTGGCATTGGTCCAATATAGGTACGCCACCATGAGCATTTTTCAAATTGAAATAGGTTTTGAAGAAGGGGAAAGGATTCCCTGGCTTTGGCCGAAATCGTCATCCATCGGCTCAGCAGTCGTTTCATCTTACAATTAGGACACGTAGGTTGGCGATTCCCCAACCAGGGAGTCGAATTCGACGCTGGAATAGTAGGAGATCGTATTCAGCCACGCAACTTCTTGATCGTTATTTTCCCGTGACGTACCCTCCTACTCCCCCCCCCCCCCGACTTCGTCGACGAACTTCGAGGAGAGGTTGAATTTTGAACACTTATACAGCCTTGCATACCCTGCTTCCAGCACCAAATGCCGTTCAACATTAAAACCGAATCTGTGAGATCACATAGAAACTAAGCTCCTATTATTTCGCAGCTTTTGGAGAACCCTGGTGCGGAAAGGGTTTTCCAAAAGCTTGCCGATTCAAGATTGCGGTATTTCGAGGAATTATGGGAAGAAATAAATAGCTATACTGGGGAAGCGACCTTCAGAGTCAGGAGAACCACCCATTCTTAACGATTTCTTGGTATTAAAGAAGCTTTTCAATTTTACTTGATCATGTTTAATTTATCAGAAAGGACGAGTAAAAGACCTTTTTATGGCTTTGGTTGTCTTCATGACTAATGGAGTCTTGAGTGTCAGTCAACACGAAAATTTTGCTTGAGAGGCAAATGTCCGAGAGCTGCGAATCACTCTAAGCCGTTAAAACAACAATCCACGGCAGAAGGCAAATACGCCAATGATCCTATCAACAGCTGAACGCCTGGAGCGGAGGAAAACACCATACAACTTGGTTTATTGAAGAAAAATGTACTATCAATAAACTTTCATGAATACATGTTTGATAGAAACAATTTGCATTGTACTATCGTCCAAAAAATCAAATTGAAACGTAAGTACGAGGAGCAATTCCAATGAAATAATTCGCGTGCGTACAATATACGCATGAACTGTGAAAATGAGCCCGTAATAATTCTTAAAGCATTCAATATTTTGAGTGAGCTTTTTCATTGTATAGTAAAAAATATCATCAAGCTACTTAGGAATCGACCAATCCAGAAACCCTGAGGTTACTATGTGTAGCCCAAACTCCGTTTCACCTGTGAACTTAAAGGCACGCTCCGCGTTCAAAAGCTATGTTTCCTGCTCAAA